TGGCAGCTCCTTCAAAGTGGGGCCCATGTCCAGCTTCTGAAAGCACCACCCGTAATCATGCTGGATGTTTCCCTTTTCAGATGGCTGCAGTTCCACAACAACACTGGGTTCTGAAGGCGGGAATGTGGCAAGTACAGCCGCTGCATGAGCTTACTTTTGAGCATTAGGTTTCTGAGTCATATTTGGTGGGTTTTCTATTTTGATGTATTTATTCCTACTGTATGGTAAGCTGTTTTCAGTTTTTTCAGTTCAAGTTTTTAAAATTTTTTGAACTTGTTCTCATAAAGGGAGAAATACAAATGAGAAGACTATTAATATGTTTTAAGTTTTATGCTGTGCTAGGCATAATACTAAACAGTGAAATTAATTTCTTCTAATCCTTGTAATAGCTCTCTGAAAGAGGCATTATTATAATCCCATTTTTATAGATAAAGGAACTGAGGCAAATGGGAAATTGAATATGACTAAAGTCATATAGCTAGTAAGGTAGCCTGGATTGTATTTATTTATTAATTCATTCATTTAGCAAACATTGATTGAATGTCTGCTATGTTCTAGCTACTGTGCTAAAGCCTCAGGGTCGTGAACAGATAAGTTCTGTGCTCTCAAGAAGTGGATTATATTAATATAATGAACATAATAAATAGATATGTCAGTAAATAAGGCAAATACAGATTGTGAAAAGTTCTAGCAAGAAAATAAGAGTTGTGTGTTGGAGCGTGACTTGGTGGAGGTGGTAGAAATGGGGACTACCTTAGATGGGATAATTAGGAAGGGCCCCTCTGAGTTGGTGACATTTGAGCTGAAATGGAAAGGATGAGACCAAGCCATCCTGGCAAGTGCTGCAGGAAGAGCAGTACAGACAGAGAGGGGCTGGGCTTACTTGAGGACCAGAAAGGAGCCAGTGAGGCTGGGATATTGTGAGCAAGGGAGAGGATATACATGATGAGACTAGAGAGGCCGGCCGGAGCCAGATCATATGGCGCTTTGCGGCTGTGCCTGGGAGCTCTCCTCTAAGAGCGGTGGAGAAAAAAACAGTGGAGTGATGTGAGACAGGTCTGTCTGACTCTCATGCTTCCTCGCATCGCACTGCCTTGAAGAAATTCTTACGTGTTTGTCCACCCATCCAGTCGTTGGGTAGTTAGTGACTGTCTCTGTGTTTTAGACTAGAATGCACAAGAAGATATGGTTCCCGATATCCTAGAGATGGTTTGGGCAGAAAGGCAAATAATCAGCTGGTACAATGCAGTGTGGTAACTGCTGTGATGAAGAAAGTGGAGGGTGTATGGAAACGTTTAGAAGAGTTCCTGGTCCAGCCTGGTGGGGTTGTCAAGGAAAACTTTATGAGGGAAGTGGTATTAAGCACAGAACTAGACTGGCATTGTTGTGGAAAAGATAGTGCCTGTATTTCATTTGGGCCTGTCTGGCATTGCCAATGACCTTTTGAAGGCTTATTTACCTTTCTCTTATTTGTTAAGAAAATGTCTTTACTTATAAATAGGACAAATATTCCTTCAACTGTTGTTAAGGGTTTTAGCAGTGTGTACAATGTGGGCATTCTAAGCAAGCTCCATAAATATTTTATTGGTAGCTGAGTAACAGAATAAGGTTTCTCTTTATAGGATGCAGCTGGCAGGGTAGACTTTTTTGTTTGAATGAATGTTTTATGTGCTGTTTCCTTACAACATTCAAAAGGAGGCTTTAATGAACCTACTGATTGTTTCTTATGCTGTTCTTGTTAGCCACAAAATTGTTAACAAGAGGGCCAAGGGCAGACAGTCTGAAAACATAATATAGAGTATGCTTTTAATTTTTTATCCAGTCATAAAAGTATGTTTGTTAAAAAAAGTATTATATGCTATTACCCATTATTTTTTAAAATGCTGAAAAACACACCAGTGAGTATATATTGTGGGGATGTGATAGCATTCAAATACAGCTATTGATATTTTGCTACATTTCATTTTAGTTATTTTAAATTCAACTTTATTGAGATATAATTTACATAAAATGAAATTTACCAATTTTAAGTGTTGGATGAGTTTTGGCAAATGTATACTCTCTTGTAAACCTCTGCCTTTATATATATTATATATGTATATATATATATATATAATGTATATATGTAGTTATAATTTTTAAAATATGTGTATATTGTCCTAGGTTCATGTGACCATCACACAATCAGAATATAGAACAGTTCCATGATGCCAGAATATTCCCATGTGTTGTCTCTTTGTGCTGAAACCCTCTCTTTACCCTAAACCTCTGGCAGCTGTGCTGTATACTTCATCCCTATAATTTTGCTTTTTCCAGATGTCACATAAGTGGAGTCATACAGTTTGTAGTCTTTTGAGGCTTGCCTCTTTTCTTCAGTGTAATGTCTTTGAAATACATTCATGTTGGTGTGCATATCACAGTAGCCGAGAATTATTCCGTCATATGGATATACACTGTTTATTCTTTCAGCCCTTGAAGGACATTTGGGTCTTTCTGAATTTTGGTGATTGTTAATGAAGCTGCATTAAACATTCACATACAGGTTTTTGTGTGAACATAGGGTTTCATTTCTTTAGGGTAAATACCTAGGAGTAGAATCGCTGAGTCATAGATAAGTGTAGTTTTTTTGGGTAAGAAACTGCCAAACTGGTATCCAGAGTGGTTGTGCCATTTTGCATTCTCTTCAGCAGAGTATGAAAATTCCATTTGCCCCACATCCTCATCAGCATTTGATATTATCAAATTTTTTTTTTAGCTGTTCTAGTAGGTGCATAGTGGTAACTCATTGTAGTTTTAATTTGCATTTTCCTAATGGCTAAGTTGTTGAAAATCTTTTCTTGTGTTTGCCATCTATGTATCTTCTACTGTGAAGTTTCTTTTAAAATCTTTTGCATGCTTTTTTTTTAATTGCGTTCTTTTCTTAGTTACATTTTGAGAGTTATTTATGTGTTCTAACTACGGTTTCTGTGTTAGATATATGATTTGCAAATATTTCTCTTAGTGTGTAGCTGGTCTTTTCATTCTCTTAACACTGTTTTTGAGAGCAAATGTTTTAAATTTTGATGAAGCCCAATTTATTGATTAAAATTTTTTTTTATGGATGATGCTTTCACTGTTATATCTAAGAACTCTACTGAGTCCTAGGTTGCAAAGATTTCCCCTATGTATTCTTCTGAAACTTATATGATTTTACCTGCCTCTTTTGTCATAGATTAATTGACCATATAAACATGGGTTTGTTTTTGGGCTCTCTGTTCTGTTCCATTGGTCTATGTGTCTGTTTTTGTGCTGGTACTATACTGTTTTGATTACTATAGCTTTATAGTATAGTTTGAAACCAGGGAGTGTGATACTTCCAACTTTGTAATTTTTTCTCAAGATTGCTTTGCCTATTCAGCGTCTTTTGTGGTTCCATATAAATTTTAGGATTCTGTGTTTTAAAGTGTGAAAAATGCCATTGGTATTTTGATAGGGATTGCATTGAGTCTGTGGACACTTTAACCATATTAATTCTTCTAGTTCATGAGCACAGTATAGCCTTCCGTTTATTTGTGTCTTGTTCATTCTCTTTTATCAGTGTCTTATGTATAGTTTCAGAGTACAAGCCTTTTACCTCCTTGGTTAAATTTATTCCTAGGTATTTTATTATTTTTGATGGAGTTGTAAACGGGGTTGTTTTCTTACTTTCTCTTTCTGATAGTTTGTTATTTGTGCATAGAAACATAACAGATTTCTGAATATTAATTTTGTATGGTGCAACTTTACTGAATTCATTTATTAGTTTTAATAGTTTTTTGGTGGAATCCTTCCTCCCTACTCATTAGAGAGTTAGTTTTCAGACATCTTGATAGTATCCTTAAGTATTTCAGCATCTATTCTTACTTAGGACATTCTCCTACAAAATCATAATACTATTACTTAATATAAAGTTGTTCAAATTTCCGCAGTTATCCCCACATAGCTATTTTTTTAAAATTCAAGATTCACTGTATGATTTCAGTGCACTTAGTTGTCATGCTTCTAGTACTTCTATTTATTTAGAAGAGTTCCCCTACCATTGTTGACTTAAGATTGTCATTAAGATTTTTGAAGAGTCCAGGCCTGTTGTTTTTCAGAATGTCCTTCAGTTTGGATGTGTCTGATTGACAGCTTTTGATTAGATTGAGGGCAGAAGTATTTTAAATTAAATTGTTTACTTTCAGTGATTTATTTCAGGAGGCACAAAATGCCAGTTTTTCTCACAGGGGTGATATTAAATACAGTTGGCCCTCTGTATTTGTGTGTTTTATATCTGGATTCAACCAACCATGAATATATTTTGATTGAAAATATTTTTTAAAATGTAGGTTATATTCAAATATTACATTATTTTATATAAAGGGCTAGAACATTTACTGATTTTGGTTTCTGTGGTGGTTCCTGGAACCCATCCCCCATGGATACCAAGGGACAGCTGTATATGCTCTTGATTAATGTAGTGTCTGCTAGGTTTCTAAATTTTAAATGTACCTTTTCCTTTTATAGTTAATAAGCCATCTGTGGGGTGATATCTTGAGACTGTGTGAATGAATATCATGTTGTCCAGTGATCTTTCATCTAATACTTTTAGCATTGATAATTCTTACCTGAGTCAGTTATTGCTATAGTGGTTCTGTAATGGTGATTTTTTTCTTCCTATTATTTGTCTACATCTATTAACTGGATTTCTTTTGTGAAGAAGAGGTTCTTCTCTTCTTTTCATTTCTTTTCTTATTTACTATTATCAGTGTGGAGTCTTGAATTCTTTCTTTACTTGGTCATTATTTATTCCAATGCTCAGATTGTCCTAAATTTGGTTAGAGGGAACCACTTAATTCTGGGTTGGTACAGTTGTAGCAAAGGTAAGCTTTTTATAGTACTTAACATTTGAACCCATTTGTAGCCTTGGAAGCTATGAGAATTAATGTAGGTAACATCCCTTAGACCTTACTTTTGGTAACCCATCTGTGCTTATTTTCCAGCAAATCACTGAACTGAAGAAAGAAAACTTTAACCTAAAACTTCGCATCTATTTCCTTGAGGAAAGAATGCAACAGGAATTTGATGGCCCCACAGAACACATCTATAAAACTGTGAGTGTCCCATTTATCGCTGCCATCCCTGGTGTCTTTTCTCATAGTCCTTCAAGCAGAAACTTGATTAATATTTGCTCTCAGAGTTAGCAGGAATAGATAGAGCTGCTTGCATTGAATTTGAATTGATTATGGGGAGCGTAAGATAAAAGGATGACCTTAATATTAAGCAAAGAGATACAGGATTTAATTTTAAGGGAGTCTTTTTCTCTTCCTAAAATCGGACTTCTGATTTACTTTATCTCAATCACCTTTTAAAAATTATTTATAATTTAGACAAAGACAGTGAAATGGTAGAATGTCTTTGGAATTGAATCTTATTGTTAGCAGCTAATTTGTGTAACAGTAGGCAAGTCACTTCAGCTCCCTGGGCTTGCTCCAGAGTTAAGTGATAATCCTTGTGTCATAGGGTTATTAGTGTGGATTAAAATGAGGTGACAGGTGAAAAGCCCCCAGCATGCCATCACTACTGGGCAGTTACTATCGTCTTATTGAGGCTTCCATGGGCATCTGAGACTTAGGATTGTCAGTGTTTCTGTGATGTGACTCTTCTTATGCCTTTTATATGCTTGCTTATAACTGTCAGGAAAAAAGTCTGTTCCTGTCTGAAGTCTTGGCCTGGAGGCCTCTGCCTGAAAACAAACCTTGGTTCTGAAAGTTGAAAAAAGAACTTGGCTTTCTTGAAAAGGCATGAGTACAAACAATATTTCAGCACCCATTTCTTGGCTTTCTCCAGTAGATTAGCCCTTGGCCTGGGAATTATTCCATTTTTTCTCGTCTGAAGTTTGCACCAGTGGAAACTTTTGAAGGAGGAAAAGGAACTGCTTGAGTTTTAGCGGATGAACTTAAATGGACTTGTCTTGAAGAGGGGTTGTACTGTACTTCTGAGGCTTTTCAAGAATTGAAAAGCTCCCTTGTCCCTCAGGACACAGTTTCTTTCCTTCATTGTGGGGGTGGAAAGAAAATGAGCACATCCCGTTTTCTGGAAGGGAGTGGTGATGCGATCAAATTTTTGAAGAAAAACCGATAACCTAAAAAACATTATATATGTAAGTATGGTTATCATCTGTCTCAGGTGATAGGAAGGGTGATAGGAAGCCAAATTGTGTTAATTGCCTTCGCTGTGTCAGGCACTGTCCTGGGCCTTTGTATATCATCACCTTATTTTAATTCTCAAGACAGCCCTTTGCAGTGGAGATTATCCTCACTTACAGGAGAGGACACTGAAGCTCAGGGAAGATCAGTAACTTGCTTGATGTCATAGCTACTATGTCAGGTGGGTTTGAACCCAGAACTGGCTATTACGCTGTTTCAGCTACTCTTTTCCATTGTCTGATTAGATGACCTGGTTCTATTACACTTTTATTTCAATCTAAGTTTTTATATAGGTGTACATGATTCAAAATTCAAAAAAACCTAAAAGGTATACACTGAAAAGACTTTTCTTCCACCCTGTCTCCTAGTCCCCTAGGTCTAACCAATATGATTAGTTCCTCAGGCAAGCAAGTGTGTGTGTGTAAAGCGCCTTTTATAGAAATGCAAGCATGTTCTGTACTTTGCATTTTTCCTTAACACTATCTCTTCTTAATAGTGGCTTAAGAGCTGTTTTATTCTTTTTTTTAATCCTCACCTGAGGACATGTTTTCCATTGATTCTAGAGTGAGGGGAAGGGGAAGAGAGAGAGAGAAGGAGGAACATCAATGTGAGAAACACTAATCGGTTGCCTCTTGTATGCTCCCCAACTAAGGATCGAACCCACTACTTAGGCATGTGCCCTGACTGGGAATCGAACCCTCAACCCTTTGGTGTATGGGATGATGCTCCAACCAACTGAGCCACTGGCCAGGGCTATTCTTTTTTATGATGTTCCATTTTATGCTAACAAGGTGTCTTGGTTTTTTGGTTTAGAAATAATGATTACCATGTGTATAAGTTTGTAACTTGAGGATTGGGCTTGCGAAAAATAGTCTAGTGGATAGATTAGCTCTCTGTTCTTTTAAATTCGCTAGGCTGTAATGTCATTTGGTTCATCAGAAAGCAAAGCACTCAGAATCTGTGATACCAGCTCTTATACAACTCTCCCCTTCTGAGAGCTGGCAAGGAATCCTCAGTTTGAAGGGTGTTTCTGTCATTTTCACAAAACTGCAGTTGAAGACTTTGTGCTCTGTCACTGAGTGTCCTTTATCAAAGATCACTTTCTTCTAGAAAAAGTTCTGCTACATGATGAGCTCTTCAGTTCCTGTTGTTTGACATTGAAGAAAATCACATTCTGAGCCTTGTCTTTAGGCTCTTCTCATTCATTAGCTCACTTAGTCCTGAAATTCCTGTGTCAGGTGGGCTTTATGATTTTCATTTGCCACTTGGGGGATCTGAAAGGAGAAACCTTATTTTTTCACCTCCTGGACTTGTGCTTCTGCGGACAGTTATAGGCTCACACTTCCAAGTTTCTGATTGACGTTGACATGAAGGCAGGGCCTGTGTCTGCCTTGTCTACCAGTGTGTTCTCAGTGTTTAGCCTAGTGCTTGGCCTGTCACAGGGACTGGTGAACATCTGTGAAGCAAAGGGGTAAATACAAGAGCATCTACTGACTTACTGTGATTTCCTCTTGGGCAGGGTTTGAACCCATGTCCTCTGGCCCCAAGCCCCATGACCTTTCCTTCTGGTTGACTTCTCAGCCTGGGGATCCTCCAGGGCTGTTTGGCTAAAAGGAGGGAGGCATGTCCTCCGAGATTGTAAATTTTAATGAAAATGCTATTTTTATTTTAAATGATGCTTATATATTATGGAGTAGAATATAAAATTGGCATGAATTATTAAAATAAAACAGGAACAAGATTTCAAAGAAAACCTAAATCTATAGCAGTTCTCTGTAAACTGTACACGCAGACTGCTCTTTCTACTATATTAATTCATTTAACATTCTCTCTGGGATACATTTGCGGACTGGTTTGAGAAGCCAACCACTGCCCCACTGTCTCATGTTGCAATCCATTTGCCAAAGACTCTGCCTTTGGATTCTCATGTGAATTATGATCCTAAGGCCATGTGTGACTCCTTTCCTTCGAGTCAATTAAGAGGAAGATGGTTGGTTGGAGAACCTTGTGTTGTCACTTATAGACAGCTTGCCCTGTGCGCTTGTGGCTCTTTTGTAAGTGAGTACGCTGAAATCTTACATTGATATGAGACAGGCAGTGACGAGGCCTCCCATTTATCCATCTACATGTTTTATTTTTTTAAGCTGTAAAATGTTTCCATTGCTACAACCAGCACATACATGATGGTAAACAACCAGAGGTAATTGCCTTGGAATGGTAAAAGCAAACTAGAATTGCTTGCAAATTTGCTTGGTGGAGGGCAAACAATTTTTAAATCGGCCTCTCTTGTATGACATTTATGCCTCAATGTTTGAATGCTCTGGCTGTTAGAAGCTTGGAAAATTTGCATAATTGTTCCAAGTCTTGAGAAATCTGGAGCTTTCTTTTGAGACCACCAGTGTTTAATAATTCCCTTTTCCCAGTGCCCTGAGGCTAATGAGGTTTTGAATCTAACAGCTGCCTATTACAAGCATGGCGTAGTCAGTCCACGCTAAGAGCTGTTTCCCCATGGTAGACATTCGTATGTCCTGTATTTTTACACTGTTTCTTTTCTTTCCTAATCTCATCTGAAAGAATATCGAGCTCAAGGTGGAAGTAGAAAGTCTGAAGCGTGAGCTCCAAGAGAGAGAGCAGCTGCTCATCAAAGCCTCGTGAGTACCTGTCATCCTGTTACAAGCTTGTGGGTAGCCCAGGGGTTTTGATGGTGGCAGCTAAGTGGGTCAGTAAAATGGAACCTTGTGCTTGCTAAGCCACTTGTTCTCTCACAGGGCTCTGAGGATCCCAGGAAAGTTTTGTTTTTAATTATTTTTCAACAAACTTCTAAAGTTTATAGGAAAATGAACAGACCTTACATGTACAGCAGAATGAATTTTCATTAAGCAGACATACCTGTGGGGTTACCATCCTGATCAGAAACCAGCACATCACCAGCCCCTAGAAGTCCCCTTTGTGTTCTTAGAACTTACGCTTCTCCCACAAAGATGACTACTTTATTGACCAGTAGTATCACCTTTGCTTAGTTCTGCCCGCTTTCGAACTTTATAGAAATGGGATCATATTCTGTGCATGTACCCTTTTGTGTCTGGTCCCTTTCCTCAGCAATATACCTGTGAGATCCATCTAGATTTTTAAGTATCATTAGTTCATTCATTGCTGTAAATACCCTAGGGGCTTAAAGGGATCCTGAGGGCCCTGGCCCGGTAGCTCAGTTGGTTAAATTGTTGTCCCAATACGCCAAGGTTGTGGGTTTGATCCTCAGTCAGGGCACATACAAGAATTGACCACTGAATGCATCAGTAAGTGGAACAACAGTGGGGTGCGTGGGTGAGGGCTGGGGACCTGGGTGGAGAGGGGGTCAGTGGGGAAATTAAAGGGGACATCTGTAATACTTTCAACAATAAAGATAAATTTAGAAAAAATAAGTGGAACAACATTCTGTTTCTATCTCTCTCTCTTCCTCTCTCTCTAAAATAAATTAATACAAATTTTTTAAAAAGGGAAGGTCCTGAGTGTCTCCTGTGGTAGATGAGGTGGGGGCGGGGGCAGAGGATGGGGCTTCAATCAGAGTAGCTCGTTATTCTGTTTTGCTTAAACAACATTTGAAAAATATTATTTTAATTATTTATTGAACAACAAGCGCAGTTCAGAGACTGTAACCTGTGACTCAATTGGTTATTTATTCATTCATTCATTCATTCATTCATAAACATTATGTAATTACTTGTGCTACACATGGGATATTTTTGAAGAGAGATATTCCCTTACTTTTGAAGCTCATCAGAGACTAGTGACAACTCATCCTATAAACAAAGTCTAATGGAGGAGCAGTGATAGTTTGTGGATATAGTGGGTGCGCCAAAGTATGCTGAGTTTCATTGGTGATAATGAAATAGGACTTCCCAGGGCTGACCCACCAAAGATCTAGCTGAAAGCTTATGTGGAAATGCATCATTTGTCACGGCAATAGAGTTCCTGCTGGCTATGGGGCTGGGAGCATGGAGTCTTTAGCTTAGGGCGCTACTCACAGCTCTGGGCTGGGCCATATAATTCCTTTTATTACCACAGGGCCAGCAGCTGGCAGTGAGACTGCTATTAGCTTTGAGTAGACCAGAGGAGGTTCTCAGGCCCCAGATTGACCTTGCACGCATGGTATTTTCTGAGTGAGTGAATGAATGAATAAACCAGATTAACAAGTTTTTGATATTTGTTGTTGTTGTAGTGTTTTTTTTTTTTAATGAAGCACATCATCATTCTCTAGGCGGGGAATCAAATCTACTTTACCAAGCCTGGAAGTCAGTAGTAGAATTTGTTCTAAGAAAGTAGAAGTCTAGGGGGCTCAGCCTCGTCTTGTAGGCATCTTGCAGGGTCTGGAGGCCTCATTAGAGATTTTGGTCTTTATCCTAAGATCAAAGAGAAAGCAGTCATGGGTTTTAAGCAACTGACACAATAGAGTTTTGTTTTCTAAAAGGTCACTCTGGATAGTGAGTGGGAAATGTTTTGTAGAGGGAGTGGTGTTGGAAGCAAGGGACCAGTGAGGAGGCTTGTCTAATAGTGTAGGTGACATTAGGACGGAGGTGGGTGGGTGGATTGGAAAGACACTTAGGAAGCAAAATCAACAGGACTTGGTAATGGATGGGAAAGGAGCTGTCAAGGATAGGTTAGGGGTCAAGATCATGGGCTCTGTTTAAGAATGTTCCACAGTGACTTAGCTGTTCCAGCTTTCTCTCCACCAACTTTTAATCTGAAACACAGTTCACAGATATTAAGAAGGTTCCTGTTCCTGTTGCTCTAACTTTTCCCTGGCAGACCTTTTCTCCTTCCTAGCCCCTCCCAGCCGGAATCCCTTTCCAGTTGTCTACCCTTCATAAGGGCTCTTGTTGATCACACGTCGCTGCCTTAGCTCACATCTTTTTCTTCACATACTTCTCTGGCATATAACGACAATCCCATATGTGTACAGCACTTTTCAGTTTATAAAACGCTTTCATATCTATTTGGATTCCATCATTATCCTGAGAGTTCGTCAAATCTCGAGGAAAACCTCATTTGAGAGAGGAGGGAATTTAGGTTTGGAAGGGAAGGGCCATGACTAAAACTACTCACCAGAAATTTTGATCAGAGCTGGGATTAGAACTCAGGTTCATGACTTCTGGTCCAGCACAAGGTTTCATATTCTTTTTTTATTTTCATGCATGTTTCTCATTTCTTCAACATGACTACATATCTTCTAAGCCAAGAGCCTCTTCCTCAGCGGAGTATGGGGCCAGTGGAAAGGGCAGGGGCTCTGGGTTGGCTCTACCAATAGGTAGGACTGTGGCCTTTGAGCATTGGCTTCTCAGCTATCCCCACTTCCTGGGACCTTTGTGTGGATTACCTGCCAGGGTATGTGCACGTCTGCCACAGACCTGCTAAATGGGCCTTTCCCTTTCCCTCTGATGGCCCCGCATCTGGCAGTGTGTGTGTGGTACATACTTGTTGATGGAAAATAGCTTTTTATTAGTGCCCTCAACTCCCTTTTTGAGTTTTATGGTGATGGTTTTTTGAGGAGTGAGTGGGCGGGAGATATGGGAAAAGTCCCTGATTTTCTCTCAAGAGCTATAATTAGAATGGAAAGAATCAAGAGGGAATGTTGATGGTTAAAAAGAGTAGCGAGGGTGGTGTTTATAGAAGGTTCTCTTGTATTGGGTGGAAAGCTGGATTAGACCAGTTTCTCTCAGCCTTTCCTCTCCTTAGGTGTTGCTGTCTCGTCTGTTGGCCCAAATAAGGAAAGGGTGGTGGGGGAAACTAACATTTATTGAGACCCTTCTCAGCTCCTAACCCTGTGCCTGGCACTTGACATATTTTATCACACTTGAGTTTACAGCAGTTACGTGAGGCAGCCAGTGTTCCTGTTTGAGTGGGGAGGAAACTGAGGCTCAGAGGAGTGGGGGGACCTGCCCAAGTTGGTAACAGAGTTGGGGTTCGTCTGGCTTTGGAGCCCTCTGCCTTGCAGTGAAGTAAACATATAATACTTGCTGACTTCCCATTGTTGTATTTATCAGTTACCAAAAGGGGATTTTAAAAACAAAAAGCAGACATACTGTCGGGAGTAAATTTTATCTCTGTAGCTTTAAAACACAAACAAAAATAATAATTCCATTAGTAGATGAAAATTGTACCATACTGCTGAGTGTAAATTTTATTGCTACAGTAACTGCAAAATACAAAGATGATAAATGAAAAGTTGGAACATTTATTATTGGGAGTATATTTTATTGGTATAACTAAAAATGCAAACAAACTGAATAATGCCAGTACTTGTTAAAAATTGTAGTCAGCCTCTTGACAATGTATGTGATGCTGACTGTAAAATACAAAGGTTTGATCTAGGTGGATAGGAGGGAGCTGGTGTATTTGCACTCACTGGGTAGAGTGGAGGGTGGGGATGGGGTAATGCTGTGAGCCATTTTCTAGAGGAGGCTCTCTAAAGCCCAAGGGCTAAAATATTTGTGGTGGTTCGAGGAAATTCAGGACTGGAAAATTTTGTATCTAAGGCTCAGGAAAGAAAAAGCTTCTAGTCCAGAATTCTTTTTTAAAAAATTATTGTTGACACTCTTACAGATGGTCCCCCATTTTCTCCCCCTTAGTCCAGAATTCTTGCAGCCATATAGAATGCCCTCTTGAGAAGTGATTGTGGATCACTGTGAACTCCAGACAGTACTGGGCAAGAAATGAACTGAGGGAGTGGGTTCAGGCTTTTGGTGGCATTAATCAGGAAGTGTCAGTGATGGCCTTGGTTCTGGACAGCTGATGATCTGTTCTCAGTTCAGACACCAGCTGAGGGTAGAATAAGGCTACTCAGTATCTCAGCAGAGCCAGCGCTGCAGTGGCCTCGGGGACAACAGGCTGTCATGCAGCACTCAGATCATAGAGGAAGGAGCACCATGCTACAGCCACTGCGTGTGCTAGCACATTCATTCTAAGAGGGCATCACCTCATTTTCCTTCTAAAGGCTTATTGGCGAAAGGAAACAAGATATGAATAAAGTCTTTATTTACAGGCAATTCATTTCTGAGACTTGGACAGCAAGTATGGCCCTCTTGACTTTCCATTGTTCTCAGTCAAAAATTCACATGGCTCGTACATGTGCACATCTGATCACATGGCTTTTGGTTGGGAAAGTCTTACATAGCCCCAAAGTAGGGCTTGCGAGGCCAGTGGTGAATAGATTTGTTCTGTTGCAGTTTTTCTGAGAAATCAGCTTTAGGTGGAGCCATTTCCTTTATATTATTCTGCCTTCTGTAAACCCACAGTCATTTTAGAAATCTGATGAGAACTGCTCTGAGTACATGTCTCACAAGTTCATATCCGACACTGTTTTTCTTCTGGGGAGAACCAGAATGAACGGCGTCAGTGGTTGTGGTCCTGTGTCTGATTTGGGTGTGCCATCCCACCACTGCTTGCCAGGCGGACAGAATATTTATACCATGGTGCCACAGCGACACGAAGTCTGCATTTTATGTTAGAGTAACACGGGGTGTGGGCTGCTTGCGTGCTCTCCTCTCCTCATGCCTTAAGTGGTAGCTAGTGCTCACATGGATTGTTGTGCTGTATTTAAAACACTTCCCCTCCAAGCCCAGGCCACGTAGCTCAGTTGGTTAGAGCATCCTGATATGCCAAAGTTGTGGGTTAGAGCCCCAGTCAAGGCATATGCGAGAATCGACTANTAATACATGTGAGTGTGGGCAGGGTCCCACACAGGCCCGGGACACACCAGGCATCTACAGTCTCTTGCAGTCCTCATCGCACCATCGTGAGACAAAGTCCATTGTGATTATCCCATGTTACTAATAAAAAATTATTTTTAGTTTTTCATTCATTTTTAAGAAAATATTTTTCTAAAAAATTATGGGTTTTTTTGTGTAAAAAGAAAATCAAGCTATTCATAAAAGTGCTAAGAAGAAAGCAAAATATCTCCAAAATCTCCCCATATAGGAAAAAATAAAAGGGTATTCCTGTTTGCTGAAAAGTATCCCAGACATCTTTTTTGCATATATACAAACAGAAGGTATTTTATGTATTACGGCCAAGTAGATTCTCTGATGATCAAAAAGATGATAGATAAATGGATAGATAATATAGATTAAGAGAGAGACAGGTGATGAATAATATGTAGAAATCCAGCTACTAGTTTGAAAAGCAATGTCTTTTTCTGTGTTATCTTCCCGTGCACATGGCCAGCCAACGGCGTCGGTGTGGGTGTGAGACGGAGGGGTGAGGCTGGGGTCCCCGCAGAAACGCAAAGAAAAGGAACAGCGACCCCTCAGTATCCGCTATTCAAAGCAGGGCTTTAAGGAGACATCGGACTCGCAAGTCACACATGCAAGAGTGCCCTCTCCATTCCTTTATCTTCGCTTCAGTGGATCAAGAGTCCACCGAGTCTTTAAAATCTGATTTTCATACAGGAAGAGGTCAAGGTGGCCTCCGTCTCGCCAACTCCAGGGGCCACTGAAACAGGGTGAATGGCGCTGGACGGCTTCACGGGTTGGCGATCAGGGTCACCTTACACGTACAGAGTTCGCCTTTAGTTCTTGGAAATCGTTGTTTCTGTGATCACGTACCCTTGACCCCATGTTTTTACATAGCCGTGTTGTTCTTGAAGGTTCTCTTGTTTTCGTCATGAAGACGGGCACGAGTGCCCCTGTTCTCACCAGTTACTGACGGGCACAGGCTTATTCAACTGCCAGCGCTGACTGCTTTGTTAATAAGGCTTTGAGTCGATATAGAGCTTTTAACTTCTCAAAACTTTTAAAATGCTTTTTCACAAAGAGCTTAAACAATAAATATAGCACATTTTTAGAAAGTTAAATTCCCATCAAATGGAGGCAAAAAATCGAGTCGCAAAGAGTGAGAATGACTTTCCTCCGGTCATATTGCTGGGAGCTGGCTGGGAGCTACGAACAATTTAGGTCAGTTCTCCAAACGCCCAGCCCTGTCTCACTCCATGAAGCATCCCTTTGAAGTTATCTCCGGACAAGTTCCTTGTATTTAGGCTTGAGGTAAGTAGTGTTACTTACGCAGTCCGTGCCCGACGAGATCTATCCGACCTAGTCTTTCCTTCCAGTTGTCCAGGTAAGCTCATCAGTAAATACAAGAATGACCATGTATGACCAGCACTTTCCAAACCTGCCCCCCATTGTCACCTTTTTCATTGCTAACCCTCACCCATTCTTTAATGCTCTCCCGTCCAGGCCCCCACACCGATACACTGATCTGACCTGGAAAGAGAAGGACTTCTGGCAACTGTGGCTCTGGGATAATCTATTTCTGCCAAGCTGTTCATTGCTGAGGCCCTTCGTCCATCATAATTTCATTCAGTCCAACAACAAAACCTGGACATCAGAGCAAATCAATACATTTGTATATTTTTAAATGAGTGGGGGAGTCCTTTTAAAAACATTCCTTCTGAGCCAAGAATTAAAAATGGAAAATAGTGATTAGCTACTGGAGAAAGTCTAGGAGCCTGTAAGCTCTCATTTCACCACATACTGACTCACTTTTTACTAATGCTTCTATTCTTTTACTTTGTCAATAAAATTTTTTAAAATAGGAAAACAGAAGTTCATAGTACTAAATTCACAATCATGTAAAATGAAAACACTTTATAGCACCTCAGAACTTAAGTTCAAACCACTACAAGATTTGATTTATAGGTTTGTCTATAGCTGAACATTTTTGTTCTGATATGTGATAGAATTAATCACACACTAAGAAACAGAACAACCCTGGCCGGTGTGCTCAGTGGTTAGAGCATCACCCGAGCACCGAAGGGTCCTGGGTTCCATTCTCGGTCCAGGACCTGGACCTGGGTTGCAGGTTCGATCCCTGACTGTGGTCGGGGCGCACGCAGGAAGCAACCAATCGAAGTGTCTCTCTCACATTAATGTTTGCCCCTCTGTCCCCCTCTTCTACTCTCTCTAAAAAAATAAATAAAATAAAATGCTTCCCCTATAGCTGGCAGAAGATGAAGCATACAAACCATTAATCCCCCAGATTAATTTTTGTTGCATACTGTTTCTTTGTACATTGGTTTGTCAAACCAGCTCTCTACCTTCCCTACCACTGGTGGGGGTGTACTTGGTTGGAAGTTTCCTGGTGGGAAATTTGGCAATCGCTGTCAAAAAAGTCTTAAGAGAATACTTACACTTTGACCCAGTAATTCCCTTTTTGGGAATTGACCCTAAGGAAATCACTGGGTAGTTTACATATACAAGGATGTTTTCATCGTAACATTGCTTATAATAATAAACAACAGCACTAACATTTGTTGAATACTTTGTACTGGCCACGGTTCTCAGAGCTTTAGAAACATTGGACAAATGTGTAAAAGCAAAAGCAATCTAAATGTTTTAATGTAGAACATTTCATGCAGCAAATTAACATATAGCCTTTAAGAATGATGATATAATAAGTTTATATTTATTGACACAAAAAGATGTTTATTGTGTGTTAAGTAATAAAATCAGATCACAGATGTGTACTGTATGATTCCACTTTTGTAGAAAATGCCCGAAAGGCTATTTACTAAAATGTTAACTTAGCTATCCCAAGTGATGAGATTATAGATGATTTTTACTTTGTTTTTAAATAATATGTATTTATACTGACACATAATTGATGTATAACATTGTGTAAGTTTAAGGTGTACAACATGTTGATTTGATACGCTTATATATTGTATGATCAGTGTTTTGGAATTACAAATATTAATTAAAATAAAAAAGACGCTCACCACAGTCATGGGAGATTCCTTGTTTCTTGGGGTGATTGGAATCACCACCTGACTGTCACCCTTATTTGCCTCTTTGCAGCAAAGCAGTTGAGAGCCTCGCTGAGGGGGGTGACTCTGAAGTTCGGCGGGTGAAAGAGGATGCTGAGAAGAAGGTGCAGCAGGTCGAAGATCGCCTGACCAAAAGACTATTCCTCCTGGAAGAGGCAAGTCTGGAAGCCTAAGGACAGTGTGCTTCTTACAGTGGGTTAATAACGAGTGGGCAGAACTGTGTTCCTTTCCTCATAAACTGTCAGCTTCTGCAGACATGAGAGCCATCCCCAGTGAGCATCTCTGGGGTCCCAGCCCCATTCTAGGCACTTAACATGAAGAATTTATACCCTTGCACCCTGCAAACTGACCATTATTGTCTCATTGCTATAAGTGAGGACACTGAGGTATGGAGAGAAACACTAACCAGTCCAAGTTGAGTCCTGCATTTAAATATGACTGCTGACTTTAAACCCGTGTTCTTGAGACACCACCACTCTTCTTAATCTAGTATTTTGCCTTTATTTCACTGAGGAAGAAACTGAGGCCCAGAGAGGGAATTGACTCACTCAACATTAGCTAAGCCTGGAACCAGATTTTCTGACTTGTAGGCCATTGTGTGTCCATGCAGCCCCGTCCCCGGTGTCCAGCGTCCATGCCACCATCCACCGGTGTTGACCGAGTGCCTTTTCTCAGCGAGGCTCTGTGTGTAGCTTCTCCTCCTCCTGATTCTCAGTCAGGTGCTTCCTATGACTGATGGGATCAGGATGTTTCTTGGTTCGAAAATCCTGTCTCCTAGGTTTTAAAACATTTCCTCCATTTAAACCTAGTCTTAAGTAAACTCATTACTTAATTCTTGGTCTTTGAAGTCTGTTGTTTCCTCTCACTTTCTCTTCCTGCATCCCTGATTCTTCTAAGCTGATAGGAGGAGAAATAACACCAAAATCACTTCTGAATTCAAAGAGTGGATAGATTTGTACTATATTTTGTAGCTAACAATGGTCTTTTCTAGTTACGATGTTCAGTTCAGCCCTTGTATCAGCCTCATGGGCATGTGTAGATATTAGGTTGGCCATATAGATGAGGAAATAGGCTCAGAGGGTGAGAAACTAGTCATGGTCATAAGTGGTAGAGTTGGGACCAAAAGAAGGGTATCGGAGCCCAAGTTCTGAATTTTAGTTAAGATTATTGTGATCCTTTGAGAGACTCAACCTAATCTTGGTCATTCATCTTGTTTTTCCCAGCCAGTGCTTCCCAGTGTGTTGGCGTGCCAGCATAACTGACAGTACTGGGTCGAATCACTACTCTGTCATCTACTAGCTTTGTCTCCTTGCCTTCCCTGAGCCTCTGCCTCTTCCTCTGTAAAATAAGACTAATGATACCAGCTTTGCTGTAGTAATTGTAGTAACAATAGTGGTACTAACAATTTATGGCATGCTTACTGTGTGTGAGGCACCCTTCTCAGCATTTTAAATACTTTGACTTAGGTAATCCCCTCAACAAACCTAGGAGGTAAAGGCTGTATCCTTTAACAAAAAAGAAAAACACAATGACACCGGCACAGAGTGGCTGAGCCACTTGCTCAAGGTGACACAGGTAGTAAACCTGGTGGTCTGGCTGCAGAGCCTGCATTCTAAACTGGAAATCCATCTCTCTGTATGTCACTTTTTAGGCTTGAGTGAGACTCAAAGATAATATAAATAGAGCTTCTTCTAAAGCGTGGCATTGAGTAGGCTCTCAGGGAATAAGTTTTGTTGTTTGTTGTCTCAGAATATTGGGAAATGATTTTTCCCAGCTATCATTGAGATTGACAGGCCAGCCTCTTGGGGAGACAGTGTTGGGGGAAACACTGGAGGGAAGGGGTGGGAGGAGGAAGCTACCTTTTTTTGAGTTTCCCGTGATGCAGTAGGCATTTGACAGTCTCACAACAGTTCTCTGATGAGACGGTCGTTAGGAAGCTGGGGGTCAGAGAGGTTAAGTGACTGCCCAAGGTCACACAGCAAGTAAGTGGGAGCTGAGTTTTGAACCCGGTTTGATTTGTCTTTTATCTTTGTGATGTAATCAGAGGCAGTTGGCATGAGCAGTTGGAGATGCCTGTCTACTCCCAGGTCACTTTCATGAACACCAGGGCCTTTTTCCCTAACACAGACACTGCCTGCGAGATTTAGATAATTTCCTTATTGGCTTCTGTGAGCACTCAGCAAGCACATAGAGTTTTCACCACCTAAATCACTTTGGAGATATAGAAAATGTACTTTAGAATTGTGTAGTCATTATCTGGAAAAAAAATAGTGAGGGGGCGGTGGGGTATGGGATGAATTTGTGTGGAGATTGTGGTGACTCTTTGGAATTTATGTATGTTTAAGTATTGAGAGGCACATTTCTCCTTGTTCTCATTGAGCTGTAAATATTGATCTGATTTTTCAAAACCAAAACAGTTCTGATAGAGTTGAGTCTTTTCCATTGGAAATGCCTATTACTCTTCAAGATACAAGAAGGAAAGATGGCTGGCAAGTGTATTTATTACAGATTCTCCCCATGTATAGTACAGTTCAGGGAGGGGAAATGTGCTGGAGAAAAAGTTATAAATATTTATATTTTAATCCAATTTCCTTTCAAAGTGTTCCCAATTGTATTGAAAAATTGCATCAAATGCATTTAATTTAACTCTAGGATGTGAAAGCTGCCCAAGCAGAACTGGAAAAGGCCTTTGCAGGGACAGAAACGGAGAAGGCTCTTCGATTGAGTTTGGAAAGCAAGCTTTCAGAGATGAAGAAGATGCACGAGGGGGACTTGAACATGGCTGTGGTCCTGGAAGAGAAAGACAGGTCTGGCTCCTGTCCCGGTGATACCCTGACAGTCATTTATCTGGCAGCTTGGGGAAGTAATTGTTCCCTTTCTTCCCTTTTCCTGTCCCTTTTCTTTTGTTGCCCCCAGTAAGAAAACTAGGAAGATGAGCACAGAGATAGAAGTAGTAGACAGAAATTTATGCTGGAATTTTCTACTCAGATACTGAATTTAGCATTTGGTTTTGGCTTTAAGCTTCCTGGTAGCCAAAGGAAAAAGGGAAAAACAATCTTGATGGACATGTGATTCACATTGCTCACAATATAAAACAAGCTAGTAACTCCGGAGAAGCTCAGTTTTATTTGACATTGTCAGAAATTTCACTTGTGGATCTTCCTGAACGGAACAGTTAGTGACTACATCCCCACAATAAATCCTAGTGAATCTTGTATGACCTGTTTCTGTCATATCTTTTAATGCAGGCTGAGGGCCCAGATTAGTACAGTGCAAGGGGCCAAAACAGTGTACAGCAAGTACAGAGCTCTTCGATGGTCCAGGAATAAAATGTGTGGCATTTGGTCCAGAGAAATGGAGGGCAGTCTTAAACTCATCTTCTATCTTGGTGGAAGGAGTGGAGGGCAGGAACAGAATGGTAATGATTAGATGGGTAAATGTTGGGTTAAGTAATGTACTTACCTAACTCAGAGGGGTTGGGAGAAGCTTCCTAGCGGAAGTTCTAGGATAAGGAGGGATTAATTGGAAGAAGAAGAGGGTGCTCCAGGCCTGTGTGAAGAAAGCTCAGAGGTAGAAGGGCACGCTGCATATCCAAGGGACTGAAAGAAGTATAGCCTGGCTGTGTCTGTTCTGGAAGGGAGGTGAGAAGAGGTGAGGAGAGGCAAGTTGGCTGGGACAGATCTTGTGGGCACCAGTCCCATTGAAGTTTGGGTTTTGTCCTCAGGTCATGTGAAAAGCCACTGAATAGTTAGGGGTGGAGGGATGGGGGCATGACAGGATCAGATTGAAATTTAGAGAGGTTGCTCTGGCTGCCCCCTGGAGGATTGGCCATGGAGCTGGGTGGGAAGCCTGGTTCTCTGGCTGATGCAGGAGACCAGAGGAGATGATGGTGATAGGACTAAGATGACAGAATTAGGGCTGGAGAAGAATAAGAGATATTTAGAAGGTAGACTCAATCACATCTTGGCCTGAAGGGCTTTGGGACTGAGGGAAAAGGCTGCCGAGATACCCCCTCACCCAGCTTAGCAATGGTGGGATGGTATTGCAATTTGCTGAGTTTGGGGGAGAAAGAGATGTTTTTGGGAAGAGGGGGTGGGAAGATGAGCTTTCAGTTGGTACATGTTGGGTTGAGGGATTGTGAGCATTCAAGAGGAGCATCCAGGAGGTGTTTGGGTATATGGATTAAGGCCTGAATTAGAGGAGATGATTCATTCATTAACCAACTACTGAGCATGGCCTGGGTTGGGTGCTGGGAATGCGGAGATGAGCACTGTTTTCCTTATATGGAGTTCCCAAATGTGGGAGAGGATAGATTTAAACAAAGGATTGGTGCTGGGGGTAAGTTCAGGGTTCCGTGCAGTGACATAAGTAAGGGAGTGACCAGCTCTGCGTGGGCGTGGGGCCGGGAAGGCTTATCAGGAGCAGTGCTGGGAGCTGGGTGAGGAAGCCTCGCCACCGCTAGGGAACGGCACATTCTAAGGTGTGGAGCCTAGCTCATTTCATGTTGAAGAAAGTGATCCCTGTTAACATAGGCTGTAGAAACTTGGATCTTGAAAAGGGGAAGTGGGAAGGGTAATGCTTATTGAGTTCTTACTGGCCCAATTGGTGGGCTCTTCATGGATGTGGGTAGTCAGGTCAGGGCCTTGCTAAAGGCTTTGTTTCCTGGGATTTCCCAGAGATCTGGTTGGATAGGCACAGAAACCTGACTTGTCAGCACTGCAGATGCATCTGTCCCAGGGATCATACTCCCAGACACCAAAGCAGCAGCCAGATGCCTTCTCTGGGTTCTTGCTCAGTCAGGGCGCAGTCCTCTCTTTGTGGTAGAGCTTTCCTGGGTCTAGGGCCAGCGTATTTCCTCCCTGAAGGCAGATTTAGTCTATCTAGGAAGCTGAATACATATTAGAAGGTGAGCTCTGAGCACAGAATTGGAATAAGGACCTTGGTCATGCTCTGGTGACATGGATCCAGATCTGCCACACAGATTGACTCGACTTTGGGCAGGGCCCTCACTAGGATGTCCTTGTCTTTCTGGGCTCCCACCACCCATTTCAAAGGTGAGTGTTTTAGCTACTTGATTTCTTTCAATCTACCTTAAAGCCAGTCGGTATCTTTAAGGCAGTTGACAGTGAGGAGCCCTGCAGTCAAGTTTGGCCAACGGGTAAGTTTTATCTGTTTTTTAAAAATTTAACTAGTTGCTAATATTTTAAAAAATCTAATTTTATGTAAGAGTCTGGATTTCCAGATTCTCTTGAAAACCTGGAAGGTGTGGGAGGACGGGCCATGGTCTTGGAGTGTGGCCGCTCCCTTAGGTGGGCCTAATGCTCCTGCTTAGCCACAGTCCCCTCAGGCCTGCCCCCCTCATTTCCATCCCTAGCTACAACTTGCTTTAAGGTAACTAAAAAATCATTTTTGTCGAGGTGTAAGGTACACACAACACAACACATGCATTTTAGTGTACAGTTTGGTGACTTTTGACCTCTTCAGTTGATTACGTGATGATTTCAGAGTTGAGCCCCTAGAGGGCACTCTTACTCCTCTTTCCTAGCTTAGGGGGGCACTGTACTGATGCTGCCAGTTCCCTCTGTATCCAATTGTCTTAGTCCATTTGGTGCCATAAGGAAATAACACACACTGGGTTGCTTATAAACAATAGAAATTTATTTCTTACAGTTCTGGATGCTGGAAGTCCAAGGTCAGGGTGCCAGTGTGGTCAGGTGAACGCCCCTTTTAGGTCCTCTTTCTTGTATTCCCACCTGGCAAAAGGGACAAGGGACCTCTCTAGAGCTTCATTTATAAGCCATCACTCCCATTCATAGGAGTTTCACCTTCATGACTTCATCTCCCAAAGTCCCCACCTCCTAATGCCATTATTTTTGGGGGGACACAAATGTTCACGCAATGCACCAGTGCACTGCCAGGTGCTTGAACTGCTTTTAGCTCTCCTCACTTTCACCCTGGTAGCCTATCCTCTTCCTGCCATAGTAAGTGGCTTTTTAGGCTTAGCTAGGAACATTCTTCTTGGGATCCTTTGACCAAATGCTAATCATTGAATGCTAAAAAAAAATAATAATTATGGCAACTGTCATTTGTTGAGTTCTGTCATATGCCTCGAGCTGTGTAGGGTGGTTTTAAATAGCTTATCTCCATTCCACATGAGCAACTTATCCCCATTTTATAGCTGGGGAAATGCAGGCTTAGAGAGCTTAAATAATTTGGCTGTTGTCAGGGAGCAGTTGATAGGGGTAATTTGGTGGCCTCGAGAAGGGTTTGTTCAGCTCTACCTGAGGGGGCTCTCGGGTTGTTGGTTGGCAAAGCTTCCCCGAGGAGGATAATACCTAATGAAGTCTGGTGGGTGATAGATATTAATCAGATGGAGGTGGGAGTGGGGTCGTGAAGGGCATTCTAGGTACAGGGAACCGTATGTACAAAGGTCTAGAGGCACAGCACAGCCTGGCTTCCAGAGAGAACTCGAAGTGTAGCTCTTGAGTGGTGATGGGGTGGGAGAAGGCTTCCTATGAGAGGTGACGCTGAAGCTGTTAGCAGGATCTCTGATCTTGGCCCTAAAAGCTTGGGTTCGACTCCCTGGCTTAGGAGTTCTTTATCTTGAAAGTCAGTGTATTTTAAACTTTGCCCTGAGAAGCCTCCAAGGGACATTCTCGCTCTCTCTCTCTTTTTTCCCTCCGCATTTACCGGAATAGTTCTGTTTATTTGTCATGTTTGTTGAGCCTTCAGTGCTAGATTTCTTTTGGAGAGAAGATTTCTTGGCCAAAAAAATTAGTAATCCACGGCTGTCGGTGGTAGGGGCCGTTGAACATTTGAGCAGGTAGGTGGGTGACTCAGTCAGACCCATAGTCTGGCAACTTGGAGAGTGGATTGACTGGGGCCAGGCTGGAGGCAAGGGGACAGTTAATGTCACACGAATTTTGGTCCTTAATCTCCGACCTGCAAAATGCCATTTCATTCATGTTCAGTGATTGGACATGTCTACTTTGAAGATGTCTGGCCCCACTTCCTACCTCCTCCTGCTCCACTGAGCTGAGAGAACAGCTTATAATTAATATTTAAATTTTGTTCTCTTTTAGACTGATTGAGGAGTTGAAGCTGTCTTTGAAGAGCAAAGAAGCTTTAATTCAGTGCCTTAAAGAGGAGAAATCTCAGATGGTGTCTCCTGATGAGAACGTGTCATCTGGAGAGCTCCGAGGACTTTCTGCTGCTCTGAGGGAAGAAAAGGGGAGAGAAACTGAGGTGAGGCGACAGATGTGGAGAGGACTTTAATTAGCAGACCAGACTCCATTGGAAATGGGATGCACATTCAGTCTGCATGGCTCACCCGCAGTCTGCTTCTGAATGTTACCCTGTCAGCTGAGGATCTGCAGAAACTTCCTCTGATAGTGGCCCTGGCATAGTTTTTCCTTTCCAGCCTGTGTTCGTGAAGTTGGTTAGAAAAACAGTCTATACCTACTTGCCTCCCTTCTGCTCTGTGTTCATTTGTTGTTGCCCAGGGACTTCATTTTCATCCTTTGGGTTTCCTTAGGGTAAAACTGTGTTATACCCCTTTCACCTTTTGTGGTTAGAGGCAGGCTTAAGTCCAACTTGGTCTGAAACTTCAGAGGCAGTGGGGGCAGGAAACTGCCCTGGTTGTGCCTGCCCACACACAAAGGGATTTAATGTGCTACCGCATCTAATCCTCCTGCCACCTTGAGAGGTAGGGATCCTGGTCCCTCGCCGAGTTTAGAAACAGGCTTAGCTCAGGGGACTTGTTATATTTTCCTAGGTTCCAAGAGGTGGGTTACTAGTTTTGACCCCAAAACCTCCCTGGACCCCTTCCCACACTAGGCAGCCTCCGTGGCAAGCTGTTTTGAAGAGGGTGGGCAGGACCTGAAGTGCAGGTAGGCCTAGTCCAGACCTCCCCCTTTGGACAACAGCTGCTGCTGCATGTGGCATGTTCACCTTAGGAGACATTCTGGACTTCATTATGGAGCAGGGTCTCCTTTGTCCCTAACACAGCAGTGAATTCTTTAGCCTCACCAGTGAGTTTTCAGCTATAATCAGCCTTTGTCTCTTGCTCCTTTGACCCCTCTGTCTCACTTCTCTGGCCCTGTCCTTTCGAAGGCCTTTTGCATTGTCCAGTAGCTCCTTGATTTACTCTCTGTGGGACTGGTAATCAACCAGTGTGGGTTGCTCGTCTTTACATCTTTCTTCACTTGGGTGGAACTTTGGGTAAGACAGGAGTGGACACTTGCTTTCATGGGTTCCATAGCAGGGGGGAACAGCAAGTAAACGAGGTGCTCATTCTAATTGTTCTGGGGAACAATTGGATTGTGGGTCCCTTCTGGACACCAATTAATACCTTTTCATAGGCTACACAAATGGAGCGCCAGACGGAGAGAAATCGCTTTGAAGAGAGGATCCAGGTATGTTGATACAGTTTTTAAAAATGTGTTGAAGATTTGTCCTTGCCTCTTGCTTTATTCTGAGTGCAATAGATAATTCTGTGTGACAATAGCTGTCACTCATTGAATGCTGCTGTCTGCCAGTCAAGCTTTAGGCCCTGTGAAGAGAGTTTCTCAGTCTTTGTAGTAACTCTGTGAAGCAGGCATGCCCATCTTGCAGATGTGGCATGTGAGGCTCAGAGCCATGAGGCCCCTTACCCAAGGTAATGTAGCTTGGAGGAGGTATAGCAGGGATTCAGACTTGCCAGTCTGACTCCAAAGCCATTGTTCCCGGGCCCTTCGTCACAGCAGCGGGCATTTGTATAGCACCTGCCGGCTTAGAAAGTGCTTTCACGTCCATTATCTCATTTGATCCTTGCGACAGCCTGGGAGGGAGGCAGCAGTGATTATCTTTAGAAATGAACTCAGACTGTAAATGTATATGTTCAGTCTCCTTCAAACCAAATTCTCTGCTAGCTTTTGTAGCATTAAGGAATGAAATTAATGATCTGTTATTTCCCCCAAATAACCTGGTACGGTTTCAAAGACTCTGATGTGACTGTATTCAAATTCCAGAAGGTATTGGAGTCCTTCCTGTAGGAATAGTTGTCATCGTCTTAACTGATCTGATCCCCTTCCTTTCACCCAGCCCTGTTGCCGTGAGCGGTAATACAGTAACTTGGAGCTGATGCCACTACGTTCAGCTCTACTTGGAAACATTAATCACAGGCTGACAGGAATAAGATAGAATAACTGCATTTGAGTGTGCTCTTAAAGATATATACAGTGCATTTTGGTTGGAACACATCAACTTAGTGAATCTTTTTCTAATCTAATTTAGGCACTTCAGGAGGACCTGAGAGAGAAGGAAAGAGAAATTGCTACAGAAAAGAAAAATAGTTTAAAGAGAGATAAAGCCATCCAGGGTCTAACCATGGCATTAAAGTCAAAGGAAAAAGAGGTATGTGTGCTAGACCTCAAGTGAGATTTTTCTTTATTAGCTTCTGTGACTGGCCTGTCCTATCCTGAGTTTTTAGCTTTACGTAAAAAGTTTATAAGAGAGCTGAGGTGACTATAGAAAGTGGGGCAAGCATCCTTTAGTCAATTGAAGTTCTTTTGGAGTGTCTAATCCAGCACTGTTCATGCAAATATGTGAGTTACATATGTAATTTTAATTTCTTTAGTAGCCACATTAAAAGAAGTTCAAAGAAGCAAATGAAATTAACTTTACTAATATATATGACAAATATTATCATTTCAACATCTAATCAATAGAACAAAAGTAATAATGAGATATTTAACATTAAAAAAATCGGAAGTCCAGATATGCTTACAGTACATCTCAAGTCAGACTAACCACATTTCACCAGAAGCCACAGGTGGCTGGTGGCTACCATATTGGACAGTGCAGGTCTGATCTTTTGAAAGACAACAGAAAATTGAGATAAAGGAGTTTTGGGGGGCAAAGCCAAGGTCACTAGCTACTTGGGTGATTGTCTTTGGGATCCAAAGTGGGAGCTGATAATTCTGTGCTGTTTTCCTGTCATTGGTGTAGCAGTCTGTTGTGTTTCAGTAACTCTACTAGGCACAGAAATAGAGAAGAAAACTCAGCTCTGCTGAAAAGCCTAGTGGGGAAGAAAAACAATGAAGGTGTTATGACTGAAGGAAGTGCAGGGGGCTGTGGAGGTGGAGCAGAGGGGACCTAATCCAGTTTAGGGTGTGTATTTCGGAAGGGAGGTGCTTCCAGGAGCAGGTGTCTGAGCTGAATCTTAGAGGATAAGTAGGCTTTGGTTGGGAAGGGAGACAGAGAAGAGGAGGCTGTTTTGAACAGAAGGGAGAACATTGGTCAAGGCATTCAGTGGGGAAAGAGTCCGGTATGTTTTCATGGAACCAAAAGCAGCTAAAGCAGTTGGGCCATGCAGAGAGAGGAGAAGCCCAGTTGCATACCTGGCTGCTAGTCCTTATTTTTACCCAGGTTGAAGAACTTAACTCTGAAGTTGAAGAGCTCAAGGCTGCCTTCGCCGAAGCCAGAGAGGCCAGCCAACAAACAGAGACCCAGACATTCCAGGTAAGCGTTAGCTTTGGTTGGAGTGGCTGTCTCTTTTATCCTTACTCCTTGTGAGGTCAGGACTTCACAGCTGAAAGGAACCGATGAAAACTCAGTGGTCTTTTATAATAGAACTATCTCATTTTAGTTGAAGGGAATTCTCTGCCAGTTTTGGGTGCTTCTCCAGCCCCCTCCTCAATATCATTATTAATGATAATAATACCTATTACTAGTAACCTAATGAATAAAGCTCTATTATCTGAATAGGTCTGTACTGCTCAAGCTCTTCCCTTTCACCCCTTTGTCCGTGGTATTAGTTATAAAGTAGAAGTTAAATCTAATTTGAGACTGTTTGGTTCCTAAGATTCCTACCCTATGTCTATCTTTTGCAGAGCTTTGGTTCACAATAAGAAGAATTGACATAATTCTAGTGCCTGGTGCACTAGAAACATAGACAAATCTCTGCTTTTGGAATCTCAGATTTGCCTTCCCCACCATTTTGACACTGGTTAATGAAATGGAGCCGAGATTACACTTTTCTCTGAGATTATTTTTTTCCCTTGCTTCAAAATTGACAAGCTTTAAAAGCTGAGTTTTTAGGAAAACCAAGAGAGACCAGACATCCTTAATAAGCGTTGTAATAGTTTACTTATGTTGGGCCATGAAGGAAAGTAAGTCCTATACATTTAAACGTTATCCAGATTATTACATACATTTATTAAATTTGTACCCCTCAGTCTTACTCAAAAGACTTTCAGAATGATTGTTAAGGTTTTGTCATGCTCAGTGTTGGCGGGGTTTTTTGTCTTGCTGTGCAGAGATCAGGTTCTTTGAGCCTGATTGGCTGTTCTGAGAGCACTCATTTAATCCTAATCCATGAAGGTAGCATGTGCACCTATTTGACAGGTCATCAGGACTTGAACTTAAGCCTCACTCTGGAGTCTGTGTTCTTTCTGCTACTCTGATTGTGTGTATGAGTCAACACACACATGATACTTATATATTGGTTATTTCTTTATGAGGTATATGTAGTTTCCATGTTGCACAGACACTTGAAAATGCATTTTCTGTCACATATTGGGACCTTCTTAGGATGTCATATGATTTGAACTAATTGCAGCATGAGTAAAATAGCAGAGCTCACAGGGTTGGCCTCAGGCTTGACACTGAAGCAACAGCAAGTAATGTTCAGACTTTTGGAGCAGTTGTCACAGTGCAGAGATGTGAATGCCAGTCACACGTATGAGTCTGTGGAGGTTACCGTGTGGGCCTGGGGGGGGCAGGGGCTGGGTGGAGGAGGGCAGAAGGGGGAAAAGTGGGGACATCTGTAATACTGCCAACAATAAAAAAAAAAATACATTTTTTACCCATTTAAAAAATGCATTTTCAAATTAGAAATAGCATTATTCCTCCTCCCCTCCCTGCACATTGTAGGAAATTTATAAAATAATTAAAATGGTGGAAAAACTTGATAAAAGTCATCAATAAATTCACATCCAAAGATATTCACTATTAACACCTTGACTCTTTTAATGCATATTTCTACATTTATACATAAAACCTTTGAAAAATTAAATAGGATCATGGTATGTAATTTTTTCTATAATCTTTCCCCCCCCATCTAACATTCTTGCTATGGCAGTATATATAGATCGACCCAATCTTTTTTTAATTTTAATTTTAATTTTGAGATAATCGTATACTCACATGCAGTAGATTTCTGTGCCCCCTTTACCCTTTATGTAATGTCTTATGTAACTGTAGTCCAATGTCACAGCCAGGACAGTTGACATTGGTGTACCCCATTGACCTTACTCAGACTTTAGCAGTTTGATATGCACTCGTGTGTGTGTGTGTGTGTGTGTGTGTGTGAGAGAGAGAGAGAGAGAGTGGGTGTGTATGGACCTTTAAACAGCTACATTTAGTCCATAGTCTATATGTACCATATTATTTTTACTGGGAAGGGACATGGATCTGAATCCTGATTCTGCTCTTCACAAACTGTGTAACCTTGGGCAAGATATTTGAGCTCTCTCAGACTGCTTGCGTATCATAAAGTCTAGGTAATCACACTTATGTCACATAATCTTTATAAAAACATGTAACAAAAACGTATTTGGGCACAAGTTGTAACTCAATAAATGTTAACTCATCTTAAGTTGGTTGGAATATCTTCTGGCATAAAAATATAGTAGTTACTTTGGTGTGTTTTTCAAGTTCTCTACTAATGGCATTACATACATTGTTTTTGGTTTGTGGAAACTCCATGCTCTTTTAGTTGGGAATGAAAGATAGTGGAGTGAGTGATGGAAAGGGGAACTAGGCTTATTTATCCTGCACCCACTGAAATGGAACTTTGGTTATCATTTAATCTTCACAGCAGCCCTGTGAACTAGAGATCGTTCCTTTCACAGATGAGAAAACTTCAGAAAAGTTAACTTCTTCCAGGTCACACATCTAGAACTGATTTTTGAACTCTGAGCTCTCTGACTCTGTCTTTATTAAACACATCTTGTTACCACACGGCGGGGAAGAACTATTTGTTTAATACTGCATTTGGCCTTCAGTTTCTGACCATGTCTAATTGGGCCAAATGTTTGCTACTGTTTAGAAACATCTACCTGCTGAGATGGGATTCAGAAAGCAGAGTTCATGCAGAAAAAGGTAAAAAACTCTCCAGAGAAGTTTTGCAAAGGGCCATTTAAGGAAAATTTAATGTGGAAAGAGTTTTTGTGAAGTGAATAGAATGTATGAATTTGAATTCTTTGAGCTTGGATTTTTAAAGAGGCTTTGGCATAATTTGTGTGATAATCCTGTGAACTTTTATTGTTTTATAATAACTATTATTTTAATAATAACTCTTGCTAGTCTGTGTTTAACAAGATTCTGTGTTCTTGTCTCTAGCCATCTCCCCTTGAATTCAGTTCTTGTTTTGATTCTTGGTAGTTTATTGGTGTTAATTAGAATCTGCAGTGAAATGGGCAAGGCAGTGGAAAGAACATAGGCTCTGGAGTCATTTGAATCCCCAATTTAAGCACTTATGGTCTGATGACAGGCGAGTCATTTGACAGTTTTGAGCCTTAGTTACTGAAAATAAGGATAGTAATGTGTACCTTGTAGGGCTGGTATGAGAAGTAGAGATTAATGTGTGTAAAAGTGCCTGTTTTAGCTCTGTATGTATAATCAGTGTTGAATGAAAGGTAACTATGAAATTGTTCAAGATGAGCATTTTCCCAATCATTGTTTATTTTCTGATAATTGGTGAGTTATAACTTTTTTTTCCATATGCTTGATAATTACATAAGTATTTTCTCTAGTAAACTGTGTGCTAATGAAATAAAGATGTATTTGACACATTTAGCCCTTGGACTCTGCAGCATTTATAGTCTCTTGCAGTGGCAATTGGACTACCATGCTGACCACTATTTTTCCTCCCCATGACTCTGGGTTCGAGCCATTCTAATGTAGATAAACATTGCCAGTGCTTGAATCCATCTCTACTTTTCAAATGCAGCTGTTTATTCTGCCTTCAAAAATAACTTAAATTGGCCTGGCCAGAGTGGCTCAGTTGCTTGAGTTGTTGTCCTGTACACTGAAAGGTTGCCTGTTTGATTCCCGGTCAGGTCACATACTGGGTTGTGGGTTAGATTCCTGGTTGGGGAACGTATGGAAGGCACCGATCGATGTTTCTCTCTCTCTCTCTCTAAGCATGTCCTCAGGTGAGAATTAAATACACACACACACACGTATCATAACTTAAATTGTTATAAAAGTTATATGCTCACTAACCTTAGAACATTTGAAAATACAGAGAAGTGAAGGAAAAATGTCAATTTTATTACCATCCCATGAAAGACAGTTACTGTTAACTTTCTGTGCTTTTCCTTCTAGTTTTTATTTTACTTACTTATTTATTTATTTATTTATTTTTAAAATATATCTTTATTGATTTCAGAGGGAGGAAAGGAGAGGGAGAGCGAGAGAAACATCAATGATGAGAAAGTCATTGATCGAGCCCGCAACCCAGGCATGTGCCCTGACCGGGAATCGAACACCGATCATCTGGATCCCGGGTCAACCCTCAACCACTGAGCCACGCCCGGCCAGGCATCCTTCTAGTTTTTAAAAAAAAATGTTTTTTTATACAGCTTGACATCAACATCAGAACATAAACATTACCCTGAATTACTAAAAAAATCTTCATATTAGTTGTGCTTTGGATCCTGAATGTTGTTTATATTAATACTCCCCTCCCCCCCCCAAGGTGAAAAAGGAGCACAGATTTCTTGGTCTGTTTAATGAGCTATGAAAATTAGCTCTCTCGTCTCTTTCCCTCCTCTCCTAGGGGCCTGAAGGTTATGAAGCTGCTCTGTTAGAAAAGGCAGCCTGTTTGGCCGAGCTGCACTCAGAAAACCTCACCAAGAGTACAGAGAACCACAGACTGCGTAGGAACATTAAGAAGGTCACCCAGGAGCTGAGTGACTTGCAGCAGGAGAAGGAGAGACTAGAGAAGGAGCTGGAGGCAGCACATCGAGAAAAGAGTAAAGGAGACTGCACTATTCACGTGAGCACCCTATTCCCTTCTGAAATAGCGGGCAGTGCCCTGGGCTGGGGCTGTTCTGCTGTTGATGGTTTTAGGGAGATTCATTGCAGAAAACTTAGAAAATCTAAAAGATACACAGAAGAAAATACTTCACTCCTCTGATCACCTAGAAATGACCAGTTGATGTCTTAACTAGCTGATGTTTCAGTCCTTTTATACTCTCTTTTTCCCGCTACCCCTCAGGCATTGTTGGTATCAAGCTGAAAATGCAGTTTTTTATCCATTTTTAAAATTCTGTATTCTCTCTTTGGTGTGTTGCTGTGTTATGAATGTTTTTCAAAAACATGTTTTTTTGTGCAAGCATAATTTTTTATCACTTGGATGTGCTACAATTTATTTAACTAGTTTCTTATTGTAGGTCGTTTGGGTTGTTACACTTTTTTTGGCCTTATAACAAATGCTGTAGCTAACATCCTTATACATAAATATTTATCCACTGATTTTTTCCTGATAAAGGTATAATTACTGGGCTAAAGAATATAACTATTTTAAGACTGTTTTTAGAGATATACTCAAATTGTTCTCTAGAAAGTTTATACAGTGTTTCCCTAGATGAGCTATTTTTTTTAAAGACTACTGTATTTAGCATTGGGTGTTAGCATCAAAAAAATTCTTTCTGAACTTGGAAGAAAGGAAATAATTTATCTTTAACATTTTTTATTATATTTAAACTTAAGTATTTAGTATCCTTAGAATCACATCCAGATGCATAAGCCTTGGTGCCGTCAGGTAGGAGGGGGTCTGAGTTTGAGTGATCATTGACACTCAGGTCACTGGCTCTCAGCTTAATGGAATTACCTGCACTGGAATCTGGGGCAGGAAGAATCATTAACGTAGAGAGCTCAGAAAAGAGCCCACAGGTATCAGAAGTTAGTTCTCTGGTGACTGCTGTTGGCAGGGACACCAAGATACATAGTTTGAAATCCTAATGGTAATGCTGACGAAAGAATTGAAATACAATGTTTGTATAGGTCAATAAAACTTTAATGAACATAAGAGCAATAATGGATATTTAGAAAAATAAGAAATCGTCACTTACCATTCTAATAAAGTAACTCTTGTTTTTGAGTATCACTCTTCAGTGCTGGTGCAGCTGGACCCCCAATCTAATCAGAGGCTAAATACTGTTTGTGTTCTTTGATCACTTGGGTCATCTTCCCAGGTCACTTCCCTTGTCATGGGTACCTCCCCAGGTACTTTCTCTGACATGGCATCTCCCCAGGTCACTTCCTCTGTCATGGGCATCTCCCCAGGTCACTTTCTCTGTTATGGCATTTGCCCAGGCCACTTTTTCTGTTATGGCATTTGCCCAGGCCACTTTTTCTGTTATGGCATCTCCCCATGATGTATAGACTTGAGAGTGATTATGTTGAATGGTACATACTCCTCATTGAATAGATTTCACATGATTTACTTAATAATTTCCTCCTCTGCCCTAGCTGGTGTTGTTCAATGGTTAGAGCATCAGCCCGCACACACCGTGGAGTCTCGGGTTCCATTCCTGGCCATGATGGGGCACTTGCAGGAGGCAACCAATCGATATGTCGCTCTCTCACATCGATGTGTCTCTCTCTCTCCCTCTCTCTCTCCCTCCCGCCTTTCTTTTTCTCTCCCTCTCTCCCTTTCCCCATCCTCTTCCCTTCCACTTTCTCTAAAAATCAATGAAAAAAATCCTTGGGTGAGGATTAAAATAATAATAATAATGATAATAATAATAAATTCCTTTGTTGGACATTTTGGCTGTTTAAGTAATGCTATAGTGAACATCTTTGGTCATAAAGACATCTTTCTCGAAATCCCTAGATAGATTCTGAGGAGTGAGATTACTGGGTCAGATGGTGCAAATAATTTATACTAGTTAATCGTGCTGCCAAATTATTTGCCCAAACGGCTGGTTCAGTTTATGTTACCACCAGCAATATTGGAGAGTACCAGTTTATTGCATATTATTAAAAGATCTGTTCCTTGTATATATTCAATGTTATTGAACACTAAATAAACCTGGTTTAGATGCCAATGGAAATACAAGGCATGGCCTCTGAAAGTTTTATTGTTCTAAGGGAGTTGAAAATGTTATATAACAAAATGCAAAGTAGTTTGAAATCCAGAGCTAATTAATGTAGCTTATATAGCGAGTGCAAAAAATCCTTGTAGGATGCAGTAGTCAGGGAAACCTTCCAAGAGGAGATGATACTTGAGTTGTTTGAAAAGAGGAAGATATGAATAGTGTGCCTTTGTGGATGAGGTAAGGATAAGACTGGCCAGAGGGTCCTTACAAAAGTGCAGTTTTCATAGTCAATTTTTCTATCCTTCACAATATTTTTAGGTTAACAAAACCTGTGGGGTAATGTTTTTGTTTGTTTTAGTTTAAAATGATTTGTTCCCTTTCTCCTTCAATGTCATCATAAAAATATTCAATAAAATTTGTATGGGCGAACATGTATAGATATATGTATACACACATATTTGTATATGAAATATGTATTTTTTTTACATTGTAACTTACTTTTGGCAGTAAATAGTTAGATAACTACATCAAGAGGGTACGCTGTAATTTATTTACCTATTTCAGATATTGTTGGTTCCATAATTCACTTATTCATGTAAACCTTGGTGTTTCTAAAATAATTTTGGGCTACTGTTGATAAAAAGCTGCATTCTTAGGCAAAAAGGGACAATTATTGCCTTGTAAGTAAACTGCTGGAAGGACGGGTGATCCTGGGACACTGCCAGGATCGGGTCTCTGTCTCTCTGAGAGCTGGATTTTTCTTGCATCCACTTTATCTGGTTCCCAGTGGTTGGACCCATCCCTGCCAGCCCTGCTAGTATCCCATCTTCCTAGTTCATTCCAGAGAGGAAGGAGGGCTCACACTCCACTTCCCCCACTGTCTCCCTGTCAGGGTGGCCAGAGGGGTGAGATACTGAGAGACCAGCTTGGGTCACATGCCCATTCTTTTTTGTCAGAAGTGTGTGTGTGCCATCATTGTCAGCTTCTCCTGGAACCACGTGTTTGGAGGGGGATGAGCGTTACCCAGAGAAAGTGCTGTTTTGTTTCAGGGCAATGGATGGACCAATACCAAGCACTCTAAATGCTTCCCTCAGGTGAGTGTGCCTGTGACTCAGAGCTTCCTAGCATCTCGTGACTGTTCTTCTACATCAGGTCATGTATATGTTTCTGACAAGGTGACATGGCTGTGGTTTCTTTTTGCATATGTATTGTATCACAGAGTTATCTCTATTTAACTTCTGGTTATATTCTAAGAATTTGGCTGTGTCCATCTCATATGAATGTTTTACATCCGATCTTGGGGTCACTGGCTTGGTCAGAGTCTGGGGAAACATGATGCAGTGGTATTTTTGCCTTAGGATCTAGAGTGCATGCAGAGGAAAGCATAACCACAGGCCTTGCGTAGACAGGTTTTTCTGTTCACTAGACTCTTCGGTTAACTGGAGCCTTCCACTTACCAGCTGCTACTGCTGGTGCTTGTGGATTGAAGCAGACGAACAGAAAACTAGACCTTTCAGTGTTTCTGCCCTGGCAAAGGAAAGGATCCATTCACATATTCAGCAGGCCCTCGGCTTGGCATGAGGACAGTTCAGTTCCATACCGAGATACAAAGAAAGTACCATGGGAGCACAGAGGAAGGAAGTGGCTTGTAGGTTCAGAGCAGGCTTCTGGGGAAAGTAACTTCTGAACTGGTTCTGAAGTTGGAGTTTAAGGTTATTAGATAGGCC